AATAAGATCAACCACCTCTTTATCTTCCAACCAGCTTAATTCAAATCTAAAGGGTTTCAACCCACCTCTGAGGCTCCCCGTACTGAGAAGAATAGGCAAGTGATCGGAGGATAAACATACCAGAGATTTGACATAAAAAGGAAAATAATCCACCCAATCTGCTGCAATCAAGAACCTATCTAATTTTGACATCGCAAGATTACCTGCACTATTATTAGACCAAGTGAACCTAGAACCAATAATAGGAGGATCCAAGAAGGTATTATCTTCAATGAACCTGTTAAACCTTTTCATAGAAGAATTAATAGGATGACTTGCTAAACATTCATCAGGTCACCTAAGAAGATTGAAATCCCCCCCAATTACAACCGGGTAAGACACATAATGAATGACCTCATTCATATCATAAAAAAGCCCACTTTTAAAGAAGAGATAGAAGGCCCATAAACATTCATAAAGCCCCAAGAGAAACCCGGATTGGGACCCATAAAACCCAAAAGCAATAAGTTGTCTTTAACTACAGACTCAAAACTAAAAACCACTAAAGGATACCAAAAGATCCAAATCCCACCAGAGTTTCCAACAGTATCAATCCCACAAAAAAGGACCGCCCCTAAGCCCCAAACTTCTTGGGCCAAAAAAGAGTAGGCTGGGGAAGTTTAGTCTTTTGTCAAGCCAAAATAACAGGTTTAAACTTAGAAACTAAAAATAAAACATCTATTTTCCTCCTGGGGCCACCTAACCTCCTTACATTCCAAGACATAATATTCATCAAAAAGAAGATGAAGAAAAGGAAGAAGAACCTGGCCCATACAGACCTTCCCCAAAGTAGGCTTCTTCCAATATCATGGATTCCAAGTAATATTCGTCTGCAGAGGACTCAGAAGCTGAATCATATACACCATCTCTGAATCACGATAAGCAATCATCGCAGCAGCCAAGAACCCTCCCTTAGGGACACCATGTGCTTCCAATCTCGCCGACAACTGCAGACCACGCTTAAAGACCTTTTTCTTTTTCTCCGTTGCTGGCGCTTTCCATGCCAGGGTGCTGACCACAACATTCTCTAAGAGACTCACAGTCACATTCTGCTCCACCTTATCAACCACCGCGCACTTAGCCTTTCGACGTTTTCTTATCTCCTCCATCACCACAGCAAGAAGAATATCCTTCATGCCCATATCAACTAACATTTTTTACACTAACGATGAGTCATCAGCGTGTGCTTGAATGGGTAGAGGAGAGATGTCTATAGTCTGGGGATTAACATCCAAAGGTAGCGCTGTAGGGGACACCAGCAAAGGCAACTCCAAAAGATCAAGAACCACCTCCTCTTCCTAGAGCTCATATGCAATCGGGGAATTGGCATCCAAAGGTAGTGTCAAAGGGGGCACCACTAAGGGCATCTCCAAAGTTTCAAGAGTCATCTCCCCCTCATGGATAACAGCAGCTTCACCCTCCAAAAGTAATTGTGGCTCCCCAAAATCTACAACCACTGTGGTCAAAGGGTCAATTAACAACAGGTCAAACCGAGAACGACTTTTCATCTGTCTCTTTGCAGCAGCTAGCCGAAAAACCAGGGGATGCATCTTCAAATTGAAGAAGACTAATACAAGCAGGAAACACCAGACCTGTCTTAATTTTTTTTGATAAACAAGAAAACACACCAAAGAAAGTCACCGGTGAGGAAAAAGGCAAAGAGCAGCGCTCAACCTTCTCCTCCAAAAGCTCCTTTGTTGCAGCAAAGGAGAGAGCTGCCACCTGTACGGGGAAATCATTCTCAACGATCGATTGCTGACAGGTAATCTTTTCCCTATGCGAGGAAATCTCCAGACAAAAACTCGCCGCCAAAAAGTCACTTTTTTCACCGACGTAAAACTGAGAATGAGGTGGACCTGCACAATTACCAGCTACCAGCGTCTTGGTCCCGCCAAAATGTTCCCGCGAATGTTCATCCAAAATCAAATCCTATGGGATTTTTGTAACTACATCTGAACTTTCCTCTTCTGTATATAACTTCATGCCGTCATTCCCTTCTTTGATCAATTTTTGGGAGTTACTAATTGAATTAGAAAAACTCGCTGTGAAATCTGGAAACCTGCCCATAGAAATCCACCTTTTTGAAATCTTGGGAGTTACATAATTTTGAATTTCAAATTTCCCAAAATGCCGACAGAAATGACTCTGCAACTATAACTCCTCAGAAAAATAGCCCGCATCTTAACTTTTTTCGGCAACTTCCTTGCCTTCCAAGGATGATCACTAGAAACCCTACCAGAACTCTCCATCCCCTTTGACCTAGACTCCCAAAAAACCTGATTATTGAAAAAATCATCTCCAATGGTAAGGCAAATAAACTCTGGGAAATGAAAGCTTTTAGCTAGAATCATTTTAACAAGCACCCCATTACAAACAGGATTCAGAAACGAATCCCAATCCATGTCCAAATAGGATCCCAAGGTTCCTACAATCCTTTTAATGATGGCCAAGTTCCAAGCATGCAGAGGAATACCACAAAGACGAACCCAAACAATTTCTTTCTGAATAAAGGAACCATGATCAACTAACTTCCACAAATCCAACAAAAAGAGACTACCCCGGATTTTACAAAAACGACTTTGGAGAGCTCTACTAAACTTATCCTTGGATAAAAGTTTAAAAACAATTTTAGTCTCTCTAATAACCTTAACATCGGGACGAAAAGAGAGATTTCATCCCCTCTAAGCCCAATCAAAGAGACCGAAAATATCAGAAATCGGAGAAAAAAAAGAACCTAAGACAAAGGACTTGGATTTAATATTAAACTAGTCCCACTCTGATTTCCCACTTGCACCACCGTAGGGAAAGTAGACCTACCATACTCTTCACCCAAAACACCCATTGTAGTAGCCATCTCAGGTTTACTCAATCCCCTTTTGGAGACCTTCCTACTCTCTACATCTCCCTGCTCTCTGCATATTGATATTGTTGATGTCCACAGAAAAATTTGACAAAGCCACGAGACCACTCCTCACTTTCTCTCTCTAAACCCTCGACCACACAACCTCAATTTTTCCTTAACCGAATCTTACAAAGCCACGAGACCACTCCTCCCTGCTCTCTACATCTCCCCGTGTATATCAAAATGTCCTCTCTACCTTACTTTCATATTCATTTATAAGGATGCTACCTTATAATTTAGAACTACGGATGCCCCTCAAATCGGAAAAGGTAGTTTTAATGTTGAAAAACCCTTTGCTCGATCATCTCGACATCGAGAAGTATGACTATGATCGAGATGTATGACTATGGAAAATAAAAAGATTTTAAATTTCAAAAATAGTGCATTTTACAACATATTATCTATACCATCCATTTTCAAGATTTTTATAT